CTCTCTGCTCCTCCCCCTGCTCATGTGCTTTCTCTCAAATAAAATCTTTAAAAAAAAAAAGGGGGGGGGAAGCTATTCTTTTAAAAAAAAAAGATTTTTTTTTTATTAATGAGAGACACAGAGAGAGAGGCAGAGACACAGGCAGAGGGAGAAGCAGGCTCCATGTAGGGAGCCTGATGCCGGATTGGACTCGATCCAGGGTCTCCAGGATCACGCCCTGGGCTGAAGGCGGTGCTAAACCGCTGAGCCACCCAGGCTGCCCAGGAAGCTCTTCTGGTTTAAAATTCATTAAATAGGAGCGCCTGGGTGGCCCAGTTGGTTGAGTGTTTCACTCGTGGTTTCAGCTCAGGTCATCATCTCAGGATCTCAGGAAGGAGCTCCAAGTCAGGCTCTGCACTCAGCAGGCAGTCTGTTCTGGGATTCTCTCCCCCACTTCCTCTGCCCTTCCCCTGCTCACACGCTTTCTCCAACAAAAACGAAAACAAAAACAAGACACTAAACAGCTAAATGAAATTCATTTTTAGGTTCTGGATTAGGGGAAAATCTATTTATAAAGGATATTTTGGAGAAATCGGAATACAGAATTAATAATTGATATTATTTAATTAGTGTTCATTTATTTTGGTGTGATATTGGTATTGGGGTTATGTAGGAAATTTTCTTTATTCTTAGGTTAAAGTGAACAACTTAGGGGTGGAAGAATACTTAAGAATTAAGGGGTGAAATACTGAGATGTGTGCAACTTTAAAATATTTGGCAAGGCCTGTACGTGTGTATATTTACAATTGTTATGCATTTATTTACGTGTGTATGTGTGTGTATACATGCTTATACAAATGTGAGAGAAAATAGATGTGGCAAAATGTCAACAATTGGTGAATCCTGGTAAAGAGTATTTAGCCATTTCTTGTACTATTATTTAAAATTTTCTTTGGTCTGACAAATTTCAAAATGAAAAATAATTTTTTGGCCCCAGATGCAAACTTACACACTGAAATGCAGTAGTAGCATTATATCATAAAGCAGTCGTTTAGAGGATATGGAGCAGGGCTTCTCAAACTTAAATACACATATGAATCTTCTGGAGATCTTGTTAAAATGAAGAATTTTTTTTTTAAAAGATTTTATTTATTTATTCATGAGAGACAAAGAGAGAGGCAGAGACAAAAGCAGAGGGAGAAGCAGGGCTCCCTCTGGGGAGCCCAATGTGGGACTCGATCCCAGGACCCCGGGATTATTACCTGAGCAAAAGCAGATGCTCAACCACTGAGCCACCCAGACGTCCCTAAAATGAAGATTCTGATTCAGGAGGCTGGGTAGGGCCTGAGACTCTGAATTCGTAATAGATTCCCAGGTGATGTTGATGCTCGTAGTCTGAGACCAGATTTTGAGTAGCAAGGATCAAGAACATTTTTATATTACTTCTAAAGTGATGTTATCACAATGAAAATATAGCTGGACCCTTGAACAACATAGGGGTTAGGGGCACCAACTCCCTGTGCAGTTGAAAATCCACAAACAGCTCTGACTCCCCAAAACTTAATGATTAACAGCCAACTTTTTTTAAAAGCCTATTTTACCTTATTTTTTTAGTAATCTCTATACTCGATATGGAGCTTGAACTCATGACCCCGAGATCAAGATTTCACGTGCTCTTCTGTCTGAAACAGCCCGGCACCCCAATGATTTATACTAGCCTACTATTGACTGGAAGCCTTAGCGATAATATATAAAGTTGATTAACACTTCTTTTGTATGTTTATATGTATTATATACTGTATTCTTACAATAAGTCAGCTAGAAAAAAGAAAATCGTAAGGAAAATCCATTTCTAGTACTGTACTGTAAAAACATCCACATATAAGTGGACCCACACAATTTAAACTCATGTTGTTCAAGGGTCAACTGTACACAACTTAAAAATTCTTGTATAGAACTTATGGATTCCTCATAATATGAGAGTAAATCCATGAATCTCAACTTGAGGATACTAACCTAAACCCATAATATACATTTTAAATCAAACAGAAAGACTAAACTCTGAGGACTGAGGCCATGGCTTCTTTAACATACTAGTGCAGTATCTTGCTCCTAGTAAAATGTTTGGCATGTAATAGGCACTCAATAAATATTTGTTACCTCAAAAGTAAAAGATACAGACTGTGGATTTGGAAGATCAGGATTCAAGTCTTAGACTTCCTTCCAATTACCTGAGCAACTTTGGCCATGTCGATTACTCTTATACTCAGTTTCCTCATGGAATTAGGACTGCATGCTTAACAGTGCTGTTGTGAAGACTTTTTGGAAAAAAAAAAAAAAAAAAAACAGCAAAGCCTTGTCTTACCGATAAAAGTCACTCTCTGGGTCACTGTGCCGGATCTGGAATGGTGCATTGGGATTCTTACAATCTATAGGCAGGAGGTCATCAGGAAGAGGAGGTGACCCAGGGCAAGAGGGAAGAGGTTCACTCTCTTCGGTCTTTACACCTTCTGTCTGTTGCTGACTCTGGGCCTGAGCTGTGGCAATGAGATTGCGCAGACGTCGGTTGTGCTGGATCAGCTGAATAGTATGGATGGTGAGGCTGCATGGCTCTGAGGGGATGTCCAACATTGTAGGGGGCTTGGGCTTGTTGGCTGAGGGCTGGTGCAGTGGTGGGTCATGGACTTCCACTAGACGGAACTCCCGTGGGAGCAAATCAAAAGAACTTCTGTTGGTCTGGCTTGATGAGATGGGTATCTCTCCCCAGTATCTCAACATTTTGGAATAAGAAAGGAAGAACCTTCTAGATAAATGTAGTAGTGACCTAAAAGCAGTGTTTTTAAATCTCTAGGTTACAGGCTTCTATAGTAAAAAAAAAAAAAAAAAAAAAAAAAAAGTGAAGTCTAGCCAGTTATTTACATAGAAAGTAGGCTGTTCAAGACCACTCAGAAAATGTCAATGTCAGCAACACTGTAGGACCAAAGATGTTCTCCCTGAAGAAATTAAGAGAAATATAACTGTTAGATGCCATTCATCACAGTCACATACAATGACAATTCCTACTGGACTGAACCACGGGTGGAATTTGGGTCATTAGTAGACTAAAAGCTGCAATGGTATTGGGAGGGCTAGCGTCCATGTTTTCAATATTACCCCACTAACTCATTACGAGAACTACCATCATGCTCAATCCTGAACAATCTGCAAGGCAAGATCCTCAAATGAGACCTGGAGTATTTCTCAGGGTATCTCGACACATCCGTCCTGAATCAGTAGGAGAAAGGGGTGGGGTGGGGGGTAGAGTTAAAGATAGGAAGAGGGGGTTCTTACTATGTGTGTCAAACACAGGCAACCTTTTCCCTGGTCCCGATGAAAAAATCTATTGACCAGTAATCTAAATGGCCTTACGCATTCAACCTCTGACATATATACAGAAGAATCTCAGTGATTTCTGCTGCCTCCTAATTGGTATCCCTTACTTCAGTATCTCCCCGTATGTAATCTATGCTCCAGTGCTGCTAGACTTCATCTTTTTAAAACTCACATCTAACAACTTCTCTTTGCTTACTGGAAAAAGTCAGCCAGGAGTCTTGGAGCTACCATTCATCAAAATCTGCAATCTGACTTAACCCACCTTTCCGGATTCGTTGCCCATATGTCTCTTCAAGTTCAACAAACGTTTATCAAGTGCCAGGCGTTATGGAAGAAGACAAACACCACTGCAAGATCCCTGACCTGAGGTGAGGGAGAGAAATATAGAAACAGAACATTTCAATGAAAGTGTATGGTAAGGGCTGTTCTAGAGACACAGACCTGGTGCAGTGGAAGCACAAAGAAGGAGCTTCCTGGAGGAAATTTCCACCCTGGTTCTAACCGTATCATTACTATTCAGTTTCTTGAGCATGTCATGTATTTCCAGTTGACCCTTTAAGTTGTGATCTCTGCCAGAAATGCCCCTCCACGCACTACATCCCTGGCAGACTTGCATTCGATTTAAGTATAGTTGAGGTCACCAGTCTCCATCACCTCCCCAGGAAATCTCCCTTCCTTATATTCTCACAGCACTTCTCATGCCTTCACCACAGCATTTATACCTGGATTGAAACTAAGACTTATCTCAGTCGAGTTTATCCTTCCATCTACCCCCATGATCTTTGTACAGTGTCTGGCGCACAGTATATTTGGCATTTATTGAGTGCTTACCATGTGCCAGGCTTTGTCTTTACTGTTTCATTCAATCTCCACATCTATCCCATTTTTCAGAGGCGGAAGCTGAGGCCCGCCGTCTTGCCCAACGTCACAAATGACGGAGGGAGAAAATCAAGACAGGCTCCAGAGTCTGCGCTCCTCACCACTACACTATGCAGTCTCAATAACTGGCTTCCGAAAAAACGAAATGAACAAAGAATTGGATCAACGAAGGGACCAAACAGAACAAAATAAAACCTCAATTTCACCGAAAAGAACACGAAGAATAAGTTCACAGAAAGCCCCGGTCCTCGGCAGCTCCCCGTCAGCGTGAGGAGGCGCAAGGGCCTGGAGTCATTGATGCCGGGGCGGCTGGGAGACGAGGAGGTCTGGGCCTAGACCGTGGCACGGAAGCGCGACCATTCACTGCCGCGTCACGGGAGTTGGGCTGGAAGACTGCATGACTCGGAAAGGCCTGGGGCGAGGGTCGCCAGGCCCGCGAAAGCGGGCTAGGTGATGGGTGGTCCTCGGCGGTCGGAAGCGCTTCTTCTCACGCAGGATATGCCACAGGAAGCTATTACGACAGGTTGCACCCTCTAAAGATGTCCCCATTTTCACAGCACCTCGGTCTCCTTTAACTGTTTTTTCCTTCCCGTGATGTTGCCCTCTTCGTAACGTTGTGTGTGGGTGGTGAAGGAGCAACTCCGCCATCGCTGCCCAGAGAAGCCGCTGGGAGCTGAGAGAGAGGAGAGAGAGAGAGAGAGAGAGAGAGAGAGAGAGAGAGAGAGAGAGAGGAGAGGGAGGGAGAGAGAGAGAGAGAGAGAGAGAGAGAGAGAGAGAGAGAGAGAGAGAGAGAGGAGAGAGGAACTTAGAGACTGCGGGGGGCAGGTTTCCCAGGAACAGATTTTGAGAGTGCACCCGCCCGAGGATGGCTGATAGTCCCTCTCAGTCCGAGTCGCTGGCTTTGCCGGAGCTCAGTGATGACTTCAAGAAACCAACCCTGCCGGTGCCCCCGGTTGTGCGGGGCAAAGCTCCGGCCACCAGTCCTTCGAACCCTGAGGAGGTGAAGAAGGAAAGGCCCACGGCGCTGCCAGAGCCCGACCCCGGGGAGCCCGACGTCCCGCCAGTCCAGCCCGACAGCGGGGACACCAGGAGTCCACCGACCGAGCAGCCGCGGCCCCCCTCAGCGGCTCCTTCAGCTGGCGGCCCGGCCCGGGCTCCCCCTTACCGGGAGCCGCGGTGGGGCGGCCCCGCCTCGGCCCCCTACAGCCTAGAGACGCTCAAGGGCGGCACCATCCTTGGCACCCGTAGCTTGAAAGGGACGAGTTGCTGCCTCTTCGGGAGGCTGTCTAGCTGCGACGTGTGCCTGGAGCACCCTTCGGTGTCCCGGTACCACGCCGTGCTGCAGCACAGGGCGGCCGGCCTCGAAGGAGAATGCGACGGCCAAGGGCCGGGCTTCTACCTTTACGATCTGGGAAGCACCCACGGCACTTTTCTTAACAAAACCCGCATCCCACCGCGCACCTATCGTCGCGTCCACGTCGGGCACGTCCTTCGCTTTGGAGGCAGCACCCGGCTCTTTCTTCTTCAGGTAAGTAGAACAAGGTAATGCTGAAATCTCTGGAGTGCACCGGGCTGGGTTCCAGAGTTGCTTACGCTTTCTGTGAAGAAGGAGGTTCTCCCCGTCCCCGAGGACAAAGTGGGGGAATCTGGCTCCTCTGCAGACACGTGTCCCCGTTGCCATATTTCTGAAAGTGACTCCAACACTCCTGAACTCTGAAAGAATTCTTTCGCTTGGTTCATCAGGGACCAGAGGAAGACCGAGAGGCAGAATCCGAGCTGACGGTAACGCAACTGAAGGAATTGCGCAAGCAGCAGCAAATGATGTTGGAGAAGAAGATGTTAGGAGAAGACTCGGATGAGGAAGAAGTGGACACCACCGAAAGGAAGAGAAATACTAGTAGTCAAGATGATGAAATGGGCTGTACCTGGGGAATGGGTAAGAGATTAAAATTGCTGCCAGAACTTAATATTGTAAATTCATTACAAGTGGTATGTATATAGAGCACTGATCTTGATTATCATCACTGGAGGGGCTGGAACTACATTCAATCAAAAACCATGGAATGTTCAGTGTAGGATAGTGCCTCATTTTTTTTCGTACTTTATGTGTGTAAATTCCCTGAAATGTGAAATAGCTGATCAGAGAAAGCTTGTCCCTTGGCCAGAAGAATAAATGGAATTTTCTATAATGCCAGGCAGTTTGGAGGATGGGTATTCAGGAACTAGGAATATAAAAAGAAGATCATCTTAATGTATTGTTGGGAAGATTGGATAAATGTGATGAAATTACTTCGTAAGTGTAAAACAATAGCTAGAAACCCTAAGTATGCTGAAGTAAGGGTTTAGAGAAGGGAGTAATCACTGAGGACTTAGACGTGCACTGTCCAATATAGTAGCCATTACCCATATGTGGTTATTGGACACTTAAAGTGTGACTAGTCCAAACTGACTTGTACTATAAACCTAAAATACACACTAGATTTAAAGGCTTACTGTGAAAAAATAATGTAAAATATTCATAATATTTTCATATATTTTTAAAGATTTTATTTATTCATTCATGAGAGACACAGGGAGAGAGGCAGAGACACAGGCAGAGGGAGAAGCAGGCTCCACGCAAGGAGTCCGACGTGGGACTCGATCCCGGGACTCCAGGATATCACCCTGGGCTGAAGGCAGGGGCCAAACCGCTGAGCCACCCAGGGATCCCCCAATATTTTCATATTGATTACATGTAATAATTTTACCTGATCCCCCCCCCCTTTTTTTTTTTAAAGATTTTATTTATTTATTCACTAGAGACACACACACGCACACAGAGAGAGAGAGGCAGAGGCACAGGTAGAGAGAGAAGCAGGCTCCATGCACGGAGCCCGACACAGGATCCAACCCCGGGGCCCCAGGACCTCGCCCGGGGCTGAAGGCGGCACCAAACCGCTGAGCCACCCAGGCTGCCCTGATTCCCCTTTTTAATGTGGCTACTAGAAAATAAAAGTTTTTTAAAGATTGTATTTATTTAGAGAGAGAACAGGTGTGAGCTGGGGGAGGGGCAGAGGCAGAGCGAGAGAGGGAGAAGAAGAAACAGTATCTCAAGCAGACTCTGCACTGAGTGTGGAACCGGACAAAGGGCTCAACCCTGTGGTTTGCAACCCTGAGATCATGATCTGAGCTGAAATCAAGTGTTGGATCCTTAACCACCTGAGCTACTCAGGCACCCTGAAGATAAAAAATTGCATGTATGGCTTTCATTGCTGTTGGGCAACACAGACTTAAAATTTGAGAATGTTTTTAAGTTTACAAACAGATGTGTCTTGAGCTGGAACTTGAAGGAAAGGAAAATTAGCCCCTAGGAAGCTTAGTATTGAGATGCAGGACTTGATCCTGGACCCAGGGATCATGCCCTGAGGCAAAGGCAGATGCTCAAGTACTGAGCCACCCAGGTGTCCCTTTTTAAAATATTTTGGTTAATGATAGTTAGTGGCCTAAATGGTTATGTAATGGTTAGTGACATAAATGATATAACCCAGAATTGATTGCTCTCTTTCCCACTGGGCAGTCCGTGTACTGCATACTAGCTAGCTTCATTTAGATTGGTCAGATTTCTGTGCTCTTTCTCTTTCTCTCTTTTGGCCAAATGAGCCAGAATATCTTTTTTTTTTTTCTGTTTTTATTTAAATCCTGTTAATAGGGACATCTGGGTGGCTCAGCAGTTGAGCGTTGGCCTTTGGCTCAGGGCATGATCCTGGACTCCCAGAATCGAGGCCCCGCATCAGGCTTCCTGCATGGAGCCTGCTTCTCCCTCTTCCTGTGTCCCTGCTTCTCTCTATATATCTTTCATGAAAAAATAAATAAAATCTAAAAATAAAATAAAATAAAAAAATAAATTCCTGTCAGTTAACATAGTGTCATATTAGTTTCAGGTGTACAATATAGTGATTCAGCACTTCCAGACAACACCCTGTGTTCATCACAGCAAGTGCACTCCTTCATCCCCATCACCTGTTTAACCCATCCCCCACCTCCCTCCCCTCTGGTGACCATCAGTTCTCTATAGTTAAGAGTCTGTTTCTTGATTTGTCTCTCTTCTCTTTTTTTCCCTTTGCTTGTTTGTTTTGTTTCTTAAATTCCACATGAGTGAAATCATATGGTATTTATCTTTCTCTGATTGATTTACTTCACTTAGAATAGTAGTCTCTAGCTCCATGCCCATCACTGCAAATGTACTTATACAGTACTCATGTCCTTGTCAATCCCTTGTTAAGTATTTTCAGTATACCCTCTGCAAGGGGTGTGTGTGACCTGCTATTTGTAGAATGCCAGAAGGAGGTAGAAGTAGTGGTAGCCTGTTCCTTTGCCTGGCCAGGACCCAGTAATTAATCCTTTCAATTCCTTGTCTGGACTCCTGTTACAGTAATAGATGCAAAGTGCAGTAATAGATGTTATAAAAGCAAGAGATGAGGGTTAAGGACAGGTGGCGTTTATACTCACAGTACTATGTGTTTGTGCAGCATTTTAGTTTTCAGTGTGCTTTCACGTACATTATCTTATTCACCCAGGAGATGACTGTGGCCAAGTAGGAAACGCCCTCATCACCAATCAGAAGACCTGAAATTAGGTCCTCATTCTGCGTCTCACTATCATATAAACTTATTCAAGTTACTTTACTTTTTTTTTTTAAGATTTGTTTATTTATTTGAAAGAGGGAGAGAGAAGAGTGAGAACCAGCAGTTGGAGGGGCAGAGGAAAAAGGAATGTCCAGCAGACTCCCTGCTGAATCTGGAGCCCAGCACATGGCTTGATCCCACGACCTTGAGATCATGACCTGAGCCAAAATCAAGAGTCAGATGCTTAACTGATGAGCCACCCAGGCCCTCAAGTTACTTTATTTCTAACCTCTAATTTCCACATATGTAAAAATGGGGATAGAAAATCCTATTTCATTAGGTTGTTATAATTGTTAAATTGAATTAATTCTCAACAAACATGTATTGCTCAGTAACCATGTATCAGCCATTATCAAAAAGATTGGGGCTCTGGAGCAGAATAAGACACTATCTTTGCTCCCGAGAGGCCTTTGGTTTCATGGAACGAATCCCAGGACTTTCACTCCTCGTATCAGGTACCTGGAGAGCAGAAGGAAAGTTCTGATACGTGCAAAACCCTTCTGTGGAAGATCTCAGAGAAGATATCTGTGTACCTAGGGATCAAAACCACAAATATGTGACACCACCAGGCTTGCCTGGGACTGTCTTGGCTTACAGCTACTATCCTAACATCTAAACTCTGGGCTGCTGAAACAAATTACGTCTGTATTTGGGTCTCTCTTTTTTGATCCCTGGATTCCCATGTGACAATAGGGCCCTATTCATCCTGTTGCTCTACCCTCCTCTAATTTCCGTCACCCCCGTATGTGTGCCCTATTTAGAAGTTCCAGCATGAGCTAAGCACCAAGTGGATACTGAATACTGTGAGCACAGGGGCCCATGTGCTTCTTGGGAAGATCCTCCAAAACCACATGTTGGACCTCCGCATCCGCAACTCTAAGCTCTTCTGGCGGGCGCTGGCCATGCTGCAGGTAGGCCATGATGGGTCGGGGCTGTGTGGGGCTGTGTTGGGCCTGGTCTCATGCCTAGACCGCCACAGAGATAAGGGGACACGTGGGGCTAAGGGCTGACTTTTCTCCTGCACCTCCACTTCCTCTTATCAGGCTCATCCTCCACTCTAGGGAGTGTATGTGCATGCATGGGTAAATGTCTGAGATTATAACTATCAGACAAGATTATTTCAGTTACAAGTATGTGACAGAACTCTAATTCATACTGGTTTAAGCTAAACAAGGCAAATGACCGGCCCATGTAACTGAAGTCTCAGGGGAGCTAGATCCAGATACTCAAAGCAATGTGCTCCAGAATGTCAGCCCTTTACTTTCCTCTGTGTCCCTCTCATTCTCAGGCAGGTTTTCTCCAGTAGGTGGCATAAGTGGCCACCAGCAGTGCCAGCCTACATCCCACCAAGGTAGCAACCCAAGTGGAAGGAGAGTTTATCTGTCCCTGTGATTCCCACGAATGCCTGGCAGGAAGGGCTCTTGCTGTCTTGTCTTGGGTCACATGCCATTCCTGAGCCAGTCACTATTCTCCAGGGGAAAGCAGCTCTCTACCCAGGTCTGGCTCATGTGCTCTCCCCATGGGATGGCACTGGAGGAATAGGGTGGGAAGGGAGCCTCAGTCAAACAGCATGGCCTCAGAACGGCAGAGCCATAGTTCCCCAGAGGAAGATCAAGGTGCTGGTACTAGGAGGACGAGGAATGGCTTCTGAGCAGAGAGCACAACAGATGGTCATGAAAGGAGGGTTGCAAGGTTTAGCAAGTAAAAATGCAAGACACCAGTTCAATTTGAATTTCAGATAAATAAGGGATTTTTTTTAAGTATAAGTATGTCCAGTGCAATAGTTGAGGCATACTAATGCTATATTTTTCATTATTCATTTGAAATTTCTATTTTGATGTATTTTTATTTGCTAAGTCTCAGAACTCTACATAAAGGGAATCAGTCAATCAATGAGCATTTAGTGAACACCCACCGCATCCCTAAAACAACCTTCTCAAATAAGTAGAACCAACCAACCAGGAAAAGAAAAGTGCTTTATGCTTTTTTAGTTCCTGGGGTTGGCGTGTTTAGGGGAAATCAGAGATAGGTATGATCCAGTCTTTGCCATTCCAGAGTAGCTCATCTAGTGGAGGATAGAAAAAAACCTACATTGAAAAAAGAGAACAAAAACAAAACAAAACAAGAACAAAAAAAAAAAAAAAAGAAAGAAAACAATGAAGTATCTAACTGCATGATCCTTACCGAAGGCCAGTAGAATTTCAAGGAATGTCCAGTCCAAATGTACTAGTGCAAAACAGAAGCCACCAGGGCTGCCCTCTGTTTCTTTTTAATTCCACCTGTTTCTCTGTCTCTTTTTAAAAAGATTTTGTTATTTATTTGAGAGAGAGAGAGAGAGAGCATGAGCCGGCAGAAGAGGCAGAGGCAGATGGAGAGGGAGAGGCAGACTCCCCACTGAGTGGTGAGCCTGATGCAGAACTGGATCCCAGGACATGAGCTGGAGGCAGATGCCCAACCAACTGAGACACCCAGGCACCCCTCACCTGTTTCTTTTTTAATGCAGCACTTAGAAAATCTTAAATTAGATATGTGGCCCACATAATATTTCTGTTGGGAAGTGCTGAGCTAGCAGAGGGGAAGGGTGGTGACAAAATAGATTCAGCTTTGGCAGGTGAGCAGTCTTGGCAGAGGTGTAAAAAATGGATGGGGTTAAGGAAGAAACCAGGAGGGGCTGCTGGCAATTTGGCTGAAAGTATGACCAATTTGCTATTAATCCTCCAGTTTGGGACGCTTGGGTGGCTCAGTGGTTGAGCATCTGCCTTTGGCTCAGGGCGTGATCCCAGGGTCCCAGGATCGAGTCCCACATCAGGCTTCCTGCACGGAGCCTGCTTCTCCCTCTGCCTATGTCTCTGCTTTTCTCTCTGTATCTCTCATGAATAAATACATAAAATCTTTTAAAAATCCTTCAGTTTAATCTAGCCAGTCAAAGCCCACCACTAACCCTTTTTCTTCACACCTGGGGACTGTGAATTTGGTATCACCTATAGGGACCAATTCTCTACAGCCTCCATGGCCAGTCTTCAGGATCCCATGCACCTGTCCCATCTCCCACTTCTTTCTCCTCCTTGACTCCATTCTCCACTCCCCCTGGCTTCCTAGCCCAGCACTGACCTTCCCACTTCTTCCACAGCGGTTCTCTGGACAGCCCAAGGCTCGGTGCATCGAGACCCTCCTCCAGGTGATCCATTTCCCCCAGCCACTGTCGGATGATATTCGGGCTTCTCCGATCTCCGTCCACATCCAGACTGCACACGAGAAGGAACAGGTATCCTGCCGGCAGCTTGTCATTCAGCAAACATTCAGCGAGTCCTTTGCGTGTAGGAGAAATTCTGCTTGGTACTGGGTTTACAAGGCTCCGTGACATTCTGCCAAGAAGCTCCCTGTTCCTGAGGGAGTCGTGATTGTGACAGGAGGCACAGACATGTGGGAATGGCGTCAGAGGGGTGCAGAAATGGGGCCTTCAGTTCTGTTTAGGAGGGGAGTCAGGAAAGGGGGAAGGGGGCCTTCGAACTGGCTCTTAAAGATGAATAGGAGTTTTCGGGTCCGGGTGAAGGCTTCTCTCAGTTCTTAACCCACCTCACTACAATTTCTGGTGTTGGTAACTCTTCTATCCTAGCGTCCAACCTAGTGGCTTCTGACTCCCACATGCTACACTCTGGCTCGTCCAGGGTTCCTTCCTCATGGCCTCACTCTCTCGGGCTTCAGGTGTCCCGGCCTCTTCCCCACAGGTGATCCCCATAGCCCTGCTGAGCCTCCTATTCCAGTGTTCCATCCCTGAGGCGCAGGCGCACCTGGCTGCGGCTCCGTCTGTCTGTGAGGCTGTCAGGAGCGCCCTCACCGGGCCAGGGCGCAAACGCAGCGTGGACCCCTTGGAAGCACTAGAGCCTGCCCTGCTGTGAACTGGTGTGACCTGGTGTTTCTGGGCGGTGAAGCCCTCGGAGGCACGTTGGCCTAGCAGCACGTGTGGTGGGAGGAGAGGCCCAGTCCCCATGGCACCCGCAGCCCAGGATGGGGAGAAAGAGCCTCTCTATCTTGGGGAAGTTCTTCGCGGTCTCCACTGTTACTGGCATGTTCTGACTTCAGAAATAAAGTGAAATGCCTTGTTTTGGAAAGTTAACCTTCCTCACTCAGTAGATCAGAATCAATAAATTAGAGGTGGGAGAAGATGAGTGGCATGGTTGTTCCCAACAACCGGTTTGTTTCTTTACTCCTCCCTCCGTCCCCACCAAGCCCATTTCACTGGCCACTGATCCAGACCTTATTCCAGCCTCTCTGTATCCTCATCTGCAATACCTAGGTTCATGTGTGTGCGCACCTGCACAGAATCACACAAACAAGGAGAGCGGGGAACATAGATAATTCCAGAGGAAGAGGGGAAAACTTGTGTCCCCAACATAGGACACCCAGAAAAAGAATCCCAAATAGGCAGGACAGGTTCCTTATCACTAGAATGAAAACTACATCCAGGGGTTAGACCCTGCCCGAGCGTGTAAGGGGAAAATAAGGAACTCTGGGGTGCTGAAGAGCCTTTGGTGGTGAGACGCGACAAACACTCAGAAGCCCCTGACTGGGGGTGCCTGGGTGGCTGAGTCAGTTAAGTGTCTGCCTTCAGCTCAGGTCATGATCCTGGGGTCCTGGATCGAGCCCTGGGTCAGGCTCCCTGCTCAGCGAGGAGTCAGCTTCTCCCTCGTCCTCTGCTCTCCCCCACTCCTGCTCATGCTCTCTCTCTCCTCTCTCTCGAAGAAATAAATAACAATCTAAAAGAAATAAAGCCCCATTCTGTCCATTTTAGACATCAGCTGTCACCTGTTTTGGTATATCAAAGGCAAATCTTGCTCATCCCAGACCCATGCCAGCTGTTTGGTGCCTAGGATATACGAGTCTGATAATAGAGAGTTGGCTCCCACTTGTGCCCGAGAAGTACACACACGTAAAACCTCTGAAGCTCTCTGGAAACTTCAGGCACTAGAGTGGCCTCCAAGAAGCCAAACAGATTTTAGTTTTATGAGCATAGAGTAGCCAACTTTTTTTTTTTTTTTTAATTTTCTTTATTCGTTAGAGACACAGAGAGAGAGGCAGAAGCGGAGTCCATGCAGGGAGTCTGACGTGGGACTTGATCCCAGGACTCCAGGATCTTGCCGTAGGCGGAAGGCAGCCGCTAAATCACTGAGCCACCCAGGGATCCCGAGTAACCCACTTCTTAAAGGCAGCTGTAAGTACTCTCTAAATGTCTGTGGGCCTCCAGCCTCTATCTGAGCTCTCTTTTCCTGCTGTACATTTACATTGGACCTTAGATCCTTAAGCAGTGCCACTTTCCTCAGCCACTCCTCCCCTGACTTCTCAGTGTCATCCCTTTGTTTTTCATCCTCCAAAATGCCTCTTCCTAACTCTACGGCTCAAAATGTGTAGAGTGAAGAAAGGGTCTTCCTGCAAAAGCTCTCTGCTTCTTTTTACCTTGAACTCTCCTGCTTGTGTTTTCTTTGGGTAAATTCCTCTCTCTTCTTGGCATTACAGCTGGGTCAGGGCAGAAGAGATACCCAGCTTTCTAGTACTGGAGAGGGAAAAGTACCCCCTTGATCCTGTCAATGATGCCAGCATGTGCAGTAGCCCCACTTCCACATGTGGAATGGATATGGTTCAGGGTCATATTTCCCCAAGGATGGATGCAGGAGGACTGTAGAAGTCTAGAGGGTGTTTTGGTTTGGTTTGGTTTGGTTTTTTGCCACGTACTTGGATGGTGCAATGCTATCAAGTTGATTCAACTGCTGGACAGTTGTGTAAGATGTTCAGGTGTAACAAACAAGGTGGAGTAGGTGCTGGAGACAGTCAGGCATATGGAGGAGATAAGATGGCTAAGGTCTGATGCCCACCCCCAGGAATTCATGAGAACATAGGAACAATTCCAACACAAGACAGAGTTGAAGTGGATTCGAACAGCAAGCTAGGTATGGAGAGCTGCCAGAATTATTTGGGGGGATATTATAAGGTAGGCCAAGAGTCAAGGAAATTTTTGGAAGAAAGGAGGTTGAGTGTGGTAGGGTGAGGGAACATCCAAAGAAAACTTGGAAATGTTCGGACACTGTTGTGGTTCCAATATCAGAGAGTCAGGTCATTGTCAGTAGACTCTGACCTCTAGGCAGAGCTAAAGAGATTCAAAGATTTTTTAGAATTATGCAGAGACAAATGGTAGGATGACAACATTTACCATTATTTTGGAGAAAGTAAACTTCTGAGGTAAGAAAGGTGTAATCTGTTATCAACACAAGGCAGTAATTCTGCTGAAATGATGGAAGGATTTGTCCCAGAGACTGGGATTGTCCCAGAAGATTGGATTGTGGAAGACGAAGTCAACAATTTCCTGCTATATTCATTTGCTTGAAGACAAGTAAGAGGTAAGGGTGGAAGATATTTGGATATTGCATATACTTCAAACTTACTATATTAAAAACTGGAGCCCAGGATCTCTCCTCCAAATAACTGTTCTTTTCATAACGTAGTTGGTCTTGAATAGTAGATAGGCTGGGGCCAGGCACATGGGACAGTAAGGCCGGTGATCAAGGGGCCCCAATGTGGCTCCAGGGATGGAACACAGCAAATGTTTAATATCTGATCCAAATTCAGCTATAATTTGGACAGGTGGGTCAATCTCAGGCACTGAATCTAGGCAGTGTAAAATATTTCTTTCCTGGAAGAGAGAAGATTGGGGCTTACCTGTAAACTAGTGACTACATTGCTCTGTCATGGGAGAAAGAGACAGGAAGGGGAGCCAGGAGCATCTTGTAGGGCCAGAAAGTAAAGAAGCATCCATAAAAACAAAAGGATTGGGTCATATCGAAAGGAAAAAGGAGCCAACCCGAGAGAGCTCACAAAGGCCAAAGTTGGAACAATTTGAGCAACAAAAGAAATAATGTTGTATTGGACTAAAACACAAAGTACAAAATAAGTATGCATGAGTTTGTACTGCTATAACAAAAGAATTGAACAAATAAGAGGAGACAAATTTTCTCTATACAAGAATTCCAAATAACATTGTGTATAGGGCAGCCCAGGTGGCTCAGATGTTTAGCGCCACCTTCAGCTCCGGGAGTGGTCCTGGAGACCCAGGATCGAGTCCCACATGGGGCTTCTTGCATGGAGCCTGCTTCTCCCTCTGCCTGTGTCTCTGCCCCTCTCTCTCTGTCTCTCATGAATAAAGAAAATCTTTAAAAAAAAACAACAACATTGTGTAGATACACCCACTCCGCCTCTCACTCCTTCCAGCCACAATGTAGGCTCCACTTAGGGGCTTGCTTCCAAAGCACTGAGAATAGAAAGAGAAAAATGAGAGCTTCACACAGGAGACACTTGGCAAGCACAACCTTAGCCAGGTCATAAAGATTAGCAACACCCAGGTGATCTCATGTACTGCCTGATGTGATGTAATGAGAGGGGCATGTTGCCTCTGTGGTTTTTTTTTTTTCCCCAAAACACAGAACCTCAGGCTAAGCATACAGAAAACAGAAACCTAAATTTAAGAACCTGCCAGTACTCCTGAAAACTGTCACGGTCAGAGAAAACAAGGAAAGACTGAGAAACTGCCATAGACCAGAGGAGATTAAGGAGGCATGACAGCTAAATCCAACATGGACCCTCGATTGGATCCTAGACAAAAGAAAGGATGTTAGTGGGAAAATTGGTGAAATCTGAATGAAGTTTGGCATTTAGTTAAAAGTAAACGTACCGGGATCCCTGGGTGGCGCAGCGGTTTGGCGCCTGCCTTTGGCCCGGGGCGCGATCCTGGAGACCCTGGATCAAATCCCACCTCGGGCTCCCGGTGCATGGAGCCTGTTTCTCCCTATGCCTGTGTCTCTGCCTCTCACTCTCTCTGTGACTATCATAAGTAAATAAAAATTAAAAAAAAAAGTAAATGTACCAATGTTATCACATAGATTTAACAAATGTACCAACGTTCTACGGTAACGTTAGGTGAAGCTGAGTGAAGGGCATACATGGACCCACCGCTACTTTGCAACTTTTCTGTGAATCTAAAATGATTCCAAAATAGAGTTTATTAAGAAAATAAAATTCCTGAGTACAATAATGTCTATGCAGGAAGGGGAAAATATAATTAAAATATTCCGAGGGGGACACCTGGGTGACTCAGTGGTTGAGCACCTGCCTTGGGCTCAGGTCATGATCCTTGGGTTCTGGGATCGAGTCCTGCATCAGGCTCCCTATTGGGAACCTGCTTCTCCCACTATGTCTCTGCCTCTCTCTCTGGGTCTC